TTATTGTATTTTTATACTATGTTTATTGTATTTTAACTAATATTTATTTGTTGTTTTTATTGTAAACCACCCAGAGTCACTTCCTTGTGAGATGGGCGGTGTCTACATTTGAAATATAAATAAATACATAAATAAATATGTAAAATCCCCTCTCACCCCTCTGAGTGGTCTGTGTCTTCCTCGATCTCAGGTCCTCCACCAGAGGCCTGGGAGTGAGGGTTCTGCGCAGGATCTGAGCTGTTCCTAGCCCTGCGCTCTTCTGGACAGAGAGCTCTGAGGTTGCGCCTGGGATCTGTTGGAGCCCCTCTCCCAGCTTGGGAGTCATGGCCCCGCGTGCTCCTACCTCCATGGGGGCCACTTTGGCCTTGACTTTCCACGTCCTCCCTAGTACCTCCTTCAGGCCCTGGTACTTCTCCAGCTCCTCCTCCTCCTCCTTCCTGATGTCACTGGAAGAACAAATTAAATTTAAATTCTTTTTGAAAATTGTAAGTTTTAAAAAGAAGATTAAAAACTAACAAAAACTAATATAAAGTAAAGAAAGGGAAGAAAGGAAAAGGGAAAGTATATATATATAAATAAAAATGTGTGTTATGTTTCCAACCAACGAGCCCCAAAGCAACAAGTCCCCGTTCTGCGCCCCCAGGTTTTGAGTCCTGCAGGATAATTGGTCCTGCCCTGGGTAGGAGGGCGGGCACTGACTGCATGGCAGCAAGACCCAGGCCCTAGGCAGAGCCAGCGCAGCGTGAGAGACCATTGGGACTCCCAGGGCGCAGAGCCCTAAATTGCTCCAGCGCAGCCTTTGGGCTTACTGTGTCTGCAGAACAGGGACTCCGATGCGTTCCTCCCACCCCCCACTTCGGGATCGGCACAGGCTGGTTCGGCCTCTCGCAAGGGCAGAAGGGCATCTGAGCCGCGATGCGCAGGGATGCAGGAGTCTTCTGCCCTTCGCGGCTGGGCTACCCCCTTTCAGCCTCCCGCCTCGGCTCTTTTTCTGACTCTTATTAGCCGTCGGCGGGGCGCCGGTTTCTGTCTCATGGATGGAGAAATCCAGAGCCCCCTGAAATGGAAAGGGAGCAGCTCTGCATTTAGTAACCACCAAAAGGGGAACTTAGCAGCAGGAAGTGATTACTGAACTCCGGCTAAATGTATTTTGGACCGCTGAGTGAGAGTTCTTCGAAAACCACCCCGTTCCCCCCCTCGCCCCCGGCTGGGCTGGGCTGGGCAAGCTTGCCTTCC